AAGATAGATTGAGAGGAAGAGAGAGAGAGGCCGCAGGCTGAGTGAAATTTTAATGAATTCTCGCACAGTCAGAGAAAAAAATGATTGCGAATGTTGGCAGAGACGGAAGAGATTTCAACTCCGCTGATTTCTCCTGTGTCATCAGCTCTTCTCTTTTTTTGTCCCATCTAATGGGAGATGTTTGGAGGCAAAAGAAAGTGAGAAAGGTTGATGTCAGGGGTATCATTTTCATCTAAATGTGTGACATGTTGCTTTTCTCATCTTAATAAGTCAGAAATTGAAATGTTTCAGCTGCACAATATCACAACTGTGTTTATTATGTTGTGAAAGAGTTAAAACAGTAATATTGTGAAATATCATTACAGTTTAAAATAAACTGTATTTTAATATGTTTTAAATGTATTTTATTACTGTGATGCAAAGCTGCATTTTCAGAATCATTACACTAGTCTTCAGTGTCACATGATCCTTCAGAATATATATATATATATATATATATATATATATATTAATATTTTATATAAAATTTTGCATTTTTACAGTCTTTTTCTGTTTCCCCTTAACAATCGTTGTACCCCTATTTGCGAGTCTCCGGTTTGAAAACTCAAGAGTTAGCAAAATAGCAAAATAACCATTATTCATAAGAAAGATACACATATGCACCCCTCATGCTTCTTCTCCGTTACTGAAATCTGCAAAAATGTGACACACCAAAACATGCTAATGGACTGCTTTTATAAAAATGCTGTTTCCAAGCAACTAACAGGCTAGACAAACTCCAGCTCTGCGCCTCCACAATTCAATTCAATACACTTTACAGTCCCCGATGGGGAAATTTGTCTTGGACTTGGACATGGTGCACACATACACTGACCAAAAACATAATCCATGAAACATGCACATTATAATTGCACAAAGTAATTATTGCTCAATTAAAAATCTAATTGACATAGGTACAAGATTTCTTAATACTATTGTATCTACACACAGGCAGCAACTCATATTAAGTTATGTGAAGGATCAGATAATATCTTGGTAGCTTCCTTGATAACAGACTGCTCAAATGAATACACCAATGGTTGATATTGCCTTTTTCCAATAATTTCCTGTTATCTTTAGCTTTGGACTGAACTGTGATGGTGGACTGAACCAAACCATTCAGTGTAACCATAAAGTATTATACTTTCAATTACAGCCTGGTAAAATAAATACACTACTTTCTGTTCTACCCCGTAAACTCTTAGGGCCAGATCATTTCCCTAACAACCAGTAAACACCAGTAAATTGACGAGCACAAACCTTAATAAATCACCTGGCGTGATTCATTTAAATACTCTCCTCCCATAAATTTTGCGTCTGAAATGAAAACTCCAACAATTGTATAAGCAATAAGATCAGCTGCAAAAATAACCCTTTTCAGCGTTCATTTTTCACTGTGTGTCTTTCAGGGGCGGCTCGCCCATAGAGGGCGCTTGGGCGCCGCCCTCCCTCCGACCTGTCTGTCTGTTTTTTTAATATATATTATAATTTATCATTTTGAAAAATAATCAATGTTAATTATATGCTAATAATGCTTTTACTTTGAAAAGTGTTTTGAACTCACCAGAATGATATTTGTATTCACTTTCGTTTTATTTATCATGTTGGTGTAGTAGTAGCCAATAGGCGGTCTTCTCAGGGCGCCAGTTCGCTCAGCCCCACAGTGCTGGAATTTAAGCCAATAGTTCCCCGGTTGCTATGCAAAAAAGTTAATATTTCGCCAATCAGCGTCGTCAAATTTTATGGTTTGGGGGCGCTGAAAATATCGCCCACAGTATCAGATTAGGGGAGTGCACCGTGCACGCGCACCACTGGACATTTTTTTACCTCAGATGAGAGCAGAATGGCAGCGCCAGTGACGTCGAGTGGAAAAAATGTAAAGTAAGTCGTGGGAATTGACCTGTCTGTCTCTGTCACTCACTCACTCACACACACATAAACACTGTTTCACACACATTTGATATTAAAATAGTTATAGGAATATTAATACCTGTGTGTTTGCTTTGTTTTTAATGTTTTTAAGTTCTGAGCTAGTTAAAATCAACTTTCTTCTCATACTTGGGTGTTACCCTTAAGAATGTTGTCCCACCCTCTCTTTCACAGCCTTTTCTCTCTCTCTTTCTCTAGTATCAACACATTGTTATCCATTATCCAATTGTCAATTTGTCAAAAATATGTAATCTACAGCTGGGGATTGATTAAACTAGATTGTTGTATTACCTATTATTTTTTGTATTACCTATATTATAATTTATCAATATTATGCGTTTGCACTTTTTCTGTCAGCACACAGAGCATAATAAACATGCAACTTGTTCATTATCAGTAACTGTCAAACTGTTATTATTATTATTGTATTATTTGACCATTGGTATTGACTGGTTTAAGTTATTTTATTGGTATAGGTAAGGGGATGGCCTAAGGCCTAAAATGCACCAGAATGCAGGAAATCACATCTACTAAATTCAAAATTTTCTGGGGGGGGGACCCCCAGACCCCCCTCAAATATTTTTCACCAGCCGCCACTGGTGTCTTTAGTAAATCCTGACAGTAGTTTTTTAAAGCCAAAAGAGGGTTTGCGCTGGCACAAGCTGTTAGTAAATCTGGCCCTTAAGGTGATGATACACAGGGCAACTTTTTGAGCAATGATGCTGGGCAATGTTGCTGTCAACGGGCAACCAAATGAGACACAGGTCCCACGTCCGATCTAAGTTATCCAAATAGAAATGTATTGTCCATTTTTAATGGGAAAGTGCCCAAGGAACAATCACTCGGCAAGATTGCTCAGCAACATTGCTCAAAAAGCTGCCCTGTGTATCATCATCTTTAATCTTCGCAGAAAATGTAACCAAATCCCCAGATAAACACTTAGGTTTTTAAAGAACAGACTTGTTTAATGGGTATCTTATGAATAGTTATGAGTGGTTCCCTATTGACCTCGGATAAAAAAATCAGTTACATTTATAATGAAATGATTAAGTTTACACCATGTTTTATCTCTCAATGATACACAGTAAGATTAGGGTGGCGAGCAGGGCGAGGCAGAGGGCCATGGGAGAACAGCGCAAGGCCAGTGGCATGATTGATAATGAGCAACACCTGCGCGACGCACCAGTCTCGAATCTCTCACAGAGGAGCGGGAAAATAAGAGGAGCGGCAACAGTGAAGGACGAGAGAGGCCAGACCTGAATTTTGTGTTGTGTTTCTGTTTTATTATATGTGGCAGTAGCCGTCCATGAGGGACTGCTGCCTTTACTTTCGCTTTGTATTTGCTTATTTATTTTATTAAAGTTGTTGAATGTTCGCCTGTTCCCGCTTCTTTCTTCCGACAACATCTAACTGCGTTGCAATTAGTATTATCATACAAGAGACTAAGCAAAGCTGTATCATCAGAATATTGAGTCCATTCTCATCCTTTAGCGTCATATACAGTAGGTGACGCCATATGACATTTTGTCGAAATACTACGCACATGGCACCCTTTAGCGTCAATATAACACACAGAACCCAAGGCGTCATACAGGTGACTGGCATCCTTTAGCGTCAATATGAGACACAGACCCTACCCCAGACCTAAACCTACCCATAACAGTGCGTGTTATATTGACGCTAAAGGGTGCCATGTGCGTAGTATTTCGACGGAATGTCATATGGCGTCAACTATATGACGCCAAAGGATGAGAATGTGTTGGAATATTTTATTATGAGGTTACTAGAATCAGAACTTGTACATTCATTTTGTATAGAGCGTAAAGAGAATCGGGGATCTAACGTAGCCCTGTGGAACATCTATAATTTTCCTTATAAACTATGGTTAACCTTAACCTGCTGAATTAGATTTGTTAGAAAAGAATAAAACATTTAATTAAAAAACGAAGAAGGAAGCGGAAATCTGCAAACATTCAACAACTTGAAGAAGTTGAAGCAGTACACACCACACTGCTTCAATTTTTTTTATTAAACCATGGGGCTTAATTGTATTAACCCAAGCTAAAATTAACAAATACCAATCGTACATAGGCTTTTGGACTCTCTAAATGTTTCGCAATAGCATGAGTAATAGTGTTAATAGAATCCTCTGTAGTCTGTACCAAAACTTTCTCTGGGCAAACTGAAATGAATCTAAAACTGGTTTTACCTCTGTCTTTAACAAACACACCATATATCTCTTAAAGCGCTTCATGACACATGATGTCAAGGCTATGGGCCTATAACCATCATTCTCCAATGGACTCAATTTCTTTGGTAAAGGAACACAACAAAAAGAGAATGTGAGACTAAGAAAGAAACCAAACATGACACACGACCACATGATGATGATGTATAATCATCACCAACAGAAATGCACCAACACAAAGCCCACTAAAATTAAATATTAAATTATATTTTTATAATGTGAATAGCATAGTTATATTGACACTGTATTTGTGCTATAAGCCAATGGCAATAAAAGATGTTGTGCACTACATAAGTTTAATTAATTTTCTTAATGAAAATTCGCCCCAAATTAATTAAATCTCAACTTAATACTTTTGGACCAACATTCATTACAATCCAGTGTTATGTGAACAACACATCTTTTACAGAATTAAAAGCTACTAAAATGGGAAATCTGATGACTCACGGACAGCTCGTACTGGGATGATGTCTACGAACTTCTAATATGACAGGAAAATAAGCTGGTGTGTGCATGTAATCAATGCAATTCATTTACATCTAGACCAGAACATCAAAGAGAAGCCTGAAGACTTCCAAACAATCTCCGGTGGGATATATGTATATATGCACATACGAGTGTGTGTTAAAATCAATTTAAGCAAACATTTATTTAGGCTTTAACATTATGCAAGGAACAAAACACACTCTCCATCTTTACTTTCCAAACACAAAACCCTTAAACAAACGCAAAGTCTTTGGCATGATTGCCATACGGTTAAGAGTAAAGATGCATGCTGACTGACCAAAAGTTTGTGCTGTTGTCGAAGCAGGTAGAGGGCGGCGGTCTCGGGTGAAAGTTTGTGTTTCCTGTCCTCTAGCAGTCGGTATGCTTCCACATGCTGGGGCGATAATTCAGATAAATGCAATGGAAACACCTCATTCCGCAGTTTCTGAAAAACACAAAAATAAAAGTACATAAGTGATGGATGGGTGGTTTCAAATTGCAATAAAATTTCACAATATTTCTCTTTTTACTGTATTTTAATCAAATAAATGCATGAGCATACAAGACCAAAACAAACATTATACATATATAATCGTATCTTGCCATTTTTGCTTCAAACAATCAAGTTTTCAAACAATCAAGATTTCCAATCAATTCAAACAATCAAGATTCCCAAAACCAGGTCAACTGAAGTTCAACTGAAAATATCAACTTTAATATGATTTTTTTCTTTTATGCAGGAAAAAAAGGATTGTTAAAGCTAAACGAGCATGTCATCTACAAATAAATAGCCGAGTCTAGCTAGCCAGTATGTCTGTGTGTACATTGTGCGTTCTTTGTTAGCAGAGTGACTCTTTTGTGGTTCTTGTCAACAGTGCTGGTTTCCTGTAAGGCCTGACTTTAGCAGGTGGCCAGTGAGTACAAAGCAACATTACACCATCATCATGTTCTTTACACATTACCAGGGGCCATTACTACTCTGGCAAGCAAACAAGAGCTTATCAACATGTCTGTTTGTTCATGTGTGTGTGTGTGTGTGTGTGTGTGTGTGTGTGTGTGTGTGTGTGTCCATAAACTGGTTTGGGTTACATACAAAACCTTATCACCTGCTCCATTTTAATGTGAAGAAAGTAACGAACAAACAGGTATGAACATGCGTGTGGGTATATTAAACCACTGTAAATGAACACACACACACACACACACAGAGATGATCTTGCTTGCTGCTGTTAGTCAGGTAACATGAATGCTATAACAGGAGCTAAACCAGATGTTTAGCTTCAGCAAAAGCTCTCAGTTACTGAAAAGCTTACAAATTCAAGTGGCTGCCAGACTGCTACAGTATGATCTGATTAAAATATGAGTGAAAAACTGATCTTTCAGAAACATAACAACCACCACATAATCAGTGTGACATGCAAAGTAAAAAAAAAAAAATGTCCAAAAGTGTGAGACCACATTGAAAATCTTCTTCTTGTTCCCATTTTCACTATATTTAAGAGGACCAAAGTCTGGATTTAGTGTTGGGGTCAACTAGAATAGTTTTTTTCATGTTTTAATATATTCAAAAACATTTGCATATATTTTACATTATCATAGCAGAACCTCTCTTCACAGTCTGTTTATCATGGTACGACGCAATTTAGTTTTATCTAACTAGCTAAATTCCCAAAACCAGTCGTTTGAACCACATTAGTTTAACAATATAGAGCTGTCATTAATGATGTCACGTGCAGGTTGTGGAGTAATAACTTCTGCTAATGAATCGATTCGAGATTGCAATTCATGCATTTAATATTATTATAGCTAATTTGCATAAACAAGAGAAAGCTGGTATTTTTTAAATCATGTTAACATGCAGTATTTGGCGTACACTTTACTCCAGTACACATGTGGGTCATTTAGTCAGCAGCTTTCTCTACATAACCTAATTTTTTTTTAATATGCTGCTGTAACGAACTGAGGAGGACACTGTTTTTGTTCCCTGTTGTTTTGCTTCATTTGATGTTTGATTCATCGCGGGTTCTCTCATACAGTATGTCATACTCAGGAGTTTCCTATATGCACATGCACACTCCTTAAAAACTGCACTTATTATTTACACGCTAAATTATAGATTCAAATGTATATATATTTAAATGGGTTGAAAGACGTAGAATGTACTGAATTTTAGATTGCATGATCTATTTAAGCTCTATGCTCAAGAGCTGTAGTTCCAACCACATAAGTTTGTGATGCTGTTCGCGATTGTTTTTTGAACTATGGTTTTGGAAAATCATTCAACAATGTTGGAAAAGACGTAAAAATTGCAACCATATTTGGCTAACAATGCTTTTGGGAAAAGCACCCCTGTTTAGCTCCTGTTTCAATGAAAAAACACATGTGCTCTGATTGGCTGGCTGGTCCAGTGTGTTGTGATTGGTCAACTGCTTGTGTGTTTCAGAAATGTCCTTACATAGCCGTGAATCGCAACATACTACTAGTACAACTATACCAGTACAATACCGGAAGACCCAACCCGATCTCACGACCAAATCGTACGAATTCGACGAATGATTAAAAAGTGGCTAATTCGTAACAATTCATACGACCTCACTCGTACGAATTAGTACGATTTTGCTAAATCGTACATATTTTACGAATTGGCCAATTCGTATGAATTCGTACGAATGACCTACCCCTTACCCCGCCCCTAAACCTACCCATCACGTGGGTTTAGACAAATCGTACGAATTCATACGAATTGGTCGTGAGATAGCGTAGGAAGACCTTACTATCAAGGCAACTTTTATGTTTTACCACAAGACATTTTTAGAGACAATAAATTGAAATTGTCTTTAAAAACAGTATACAAGTTTTCAAAACCATTTGAAACCAACATAATTACATAGCATACATTTCTAAGAACTCGGCGTGTTTAAACTAGATTTTTAAAATATTTTTCCTTTTCTTTATCTGAGACTTGTATGTCATTTACCCATATAATAATAATAATAATAGAAAATGCTAAAATAAAAGCATTTTCACTAAAGTTTTCAGACTTTTGGATTTCACTGTATGTAATTTATAATCAAACGCAATAGTTTGACTTGCAAATCTCTAATATTGACTATATTTGCAGCATGAACTATCAAAAATCCCATTTGACAAGAGTGCAAAATACTTCATAAAAGGCACCTAATGTGCTATAAAAAGGCACCAAAAATAGCCATGTAATGACTCATCAGTTTAAAGTTCAGTTTAAAGTACCTACATATGGCATTTGAGATCTTCAGATACTCACACCTGCCTAAGCGTCCGCTCTTAAATGACCAGGATAGATGAGTTAGCCAAACTGTTAGCTTAGCCCTTCAGATCACAGGAAGCAGAAGGAACAAAAAGCATGTTTACTAATTCATGGCAGCAGCCAGGTGTAACGGGGGGGCGGCCTTTGTTCTGGAGAAGATTCAGAAACGTTACACTGAGGGGATGAACCATGGGTAATCTACAGGGCTAAAATTAGACTGTGGTTAGCTGCGAAGGGAAAATGGTTTGATTATTGACAAGTATGTGAAAACAAATAGCTTTGAATAGCCTGCTGACCAACAGGCATGCTGTGTTAAGTTTCCATGCAACTGTCTTTTTGGGTTGGGTATATGTTGACTGAGAGTTTGTGGTGTGTGTGTGTTCGCATGTAATTTAGTGTTTGTGTCATAAAGGATCTGTTAAAACTGTGTGCTTTCATGATATGGCTCACATGACATTCTTTGAAAACAATCGTTCAGTTGGTCCAAACAAACCAGTAGGCAAATTAATGAACAAATGTTACGGATAGCTATCCGTTCGTTAAAAGACAAGGGGTAAATGCCCTTTTAAACACTTCTGATCACTCAAACCACTTCAGAAGTTGGTCTGAGACACATCGCAAACTTAACTGGACAAGTGGAAATGCATCTGGTTGCTGAAGCCATACATGTACATTTAACTCATCCTAAAAAAAAAAATAATAATACTTGTGTGAGAGCATGTTACATCAGCTCCACGTAGCCAGATTGGCCCACCTCAGATGAGTAGCTGAGCATCACTTCACCAAGCCAACGCACAAACTGTCGCAAATGAAAAAAAAAAAAAAAAAAATCCAAGCTCAACACACAATCATCTTCATTATGCCTGCTACACACTGTGCGATTTCGGCACTCCTATAAGATTGTTACAAATCACACAGATCTAATAGACATAGATCTAATAAACTTGGGTATGACGTGTATGTAAACAGTACGATGATGACACCTATTGAATCATTGGCTATGAAATAGAGAGCCTAAGTCCCGCCCCTCTGCTTCCGGCTCATGGGACCTTATTTCAGAAAAAATATGAATGGTAGTCAATGGCGAGAGACAACTTATCTTTTTATTCCGTCTGAACTGTGCCCTCAATTACACATATGATGTTTGTCTATTTAAAAGATAATTCTGAAAGTCAAAAACGTCGCCGTTTGTCATACAACAGAAGAGTAACATTTAGTTTTATGTGGAAATCGCTCTGTGAACTACATCTCCCGGGAAGCGTAACGAGATCCACTGCTCGTGTGTGTGCAGTCTGGTACAAAACACTCAGGTAGGACGGCGTAACGTTACGATTATAACATAAGACTGTAGAAACAATGACAGACAGTCTCAGTAAAGTTAGCTTCATTCATTGAGAGAAAATGTGCGCCTTTGGGGTTTGTAGTCTTTGTAATTACGTATTTTCACAGGCTTAAACCTCAAGGGTTTTACATCAAACTGCGACTGTCTTTACTTTAAAATTTATCCTTTAAATTGACGAACATCATATGTGTAATTCAGGGCACAATTCAAACGAGATCAAAATATTTGTTGTCACTCGCCATTGACTACCATTCAATATTTTTCCGAAATAAGGTCCCATGGTGGTCGACCGGAAGGGGAGGGACTTAGGCTCTCTATAGTATAGAAAAATAGAACTTCATCAGCATGTGCTAGTGGTAAACAAATAGAGCAAGATTAATCACACTTTGGCAATTGAGGTTTTTATATGCGCTGAAAAAAAGAGGAGGATTCAAGCGAAAGAGGAGAACATGGGCGCGGCTAATGCTAGGGAAAAGAGGCCAACTTGGCATGCCAATTTTGAAAAATGGAGCTTGAGTTAAGTATTTTATGTTTTAGCTTTATGTCAGGTAGGGCTGCACGATTTTGGTCAAAATGATATTACGATTATTTTGATCAATATTGAGATCACGAACGATTAATAATCACGATTATTGGTTGATTTTAACCAAAACCAAACTTTCATGCCTCTTATATAATTTACTAATGCAATTTACTAATGCTCACACTGGGTCTCTCCCACGAGCAGACACATCGGTATCTCTCACGCACTTTCGAGTGCGCTCTTGGACACTCGGCATCTCTCGTGCACTTTCGAGCACGCTCTTGGACACTCGGC